AACATAGTCCATAAGCATGAATCCCTGTTTATGGTAGCATAGTGTCTGTGACCTTGAATTTTCCCTATCTGTGCTTGCCGAAAGCTTAGAAGTCCTCAATAAAAATAATGACTGCAGAAAGCAGAAGAGCAACTAGATAGATTTGTCTTTGTTTTATGGTTTTACACATCTAAAGAGGAACATGACCTTTATCATTTTAAAAATAAAAACTCTCTTCCTTATTTTCTTTATCAGGAAACACTGTAGGCAGTCTCAAACAATTGTCTAAGGTTCCAGACTATGTCTGAGCTGGAGAAAAGGGACCATGTGGCAGATGTCTGACTACTTCTGTGTAGTCTTTTTGTGGGGTCTGATCTCCATAGTCCCTATGATTATTGTTTCTTATCCATCTTTGTACAGTACCAGGAAAATAAAAAAGAATTTGAGGTTTAGAATAAATCCATTAAAAGGAAAGTCAATGCTAAGACTCAGAATGGGCATCAGAATTTAGCCTTCTTGCCAATTTCCCAACTTCTGTTCATAAATTCATGTTTATTTTGCTGAAGATGCTAGACTTTGCAAAGAATCTGGCCTTCTCGGTGCTTTACAGTGTGCCTGTTTTGAGAGGAATAGAGAAAACTTCTTTTTTGATGATCCTCAGAAGTAGACTGAGAAATAATTAGACCCTTGAATACAGGGATGTTCTAGAACCTATTTGTATAAATGCTGCACAATACTTACTAAGTGGGGGAAAGGGAAAGACAGAACAAAATACAAAGCTATGTGGCATTCAGCATAGAATGCGCCATCTCATTTTCCACATCTGAGAGTATTCAGGGCAATACAAACAAGTTGGCATATAGCTGACTTCAAGTATACAACTGAAGATAAGATAGAAAGTGAATAGTGTAAAGCCTTCTGAGAAATAAACTTCTTATACTCTGTATGAACTAAGTTCTGTAGAAGCTTATGCTTGCTTGCTTGCTTGCTTGCTTGCTTGCTTGCTTGGTTGATTGATTGATTTCTGTAGTCAGATCCTAAACCTTTCTCTTGTATTTCCTGAAAGATCCAGGGACTTGTCTATGCTAGAAGGAACTATTTCAAACCAGAGCAATTCTGAACTATACACATGAGTGTCGAGAGCCACTTTGTGTTCTCGGTTAGGAGACAGGATAAGCAGAAAGGGCCTTGAATGTGGTCTTGGCTAGAATACTTTGTAGGAGAAAAGCAAGCATAATATTTTGGTTGTGTCTTCTCCCACAAAGTTTATCCATTGGATTTTCCTGATCTAACGTCTTTTATCTCCTCATATTCCACGGAATGACAACACTACCACTTGTCAGGCACTCTGCTAGATGCTTTAAGCCTTTTATCTCTTGTCACCCTCCCAGTAGCCCTCCACGTTCTACTGGCCAGGAACCTACTCCAGAGAGGGTGAGTGAGTCTCCCAGGTTGTACAACCAGAGCGCCTTCAAAATTCTTTGACTATGTTTCCAGCTGTGTAGTTGAGCTCATCACTCTGTTATCTAAAGTGAAGGTGCTTCTCCAGCACGGGTCCCTCATGAACTCTGTTAGAGAAAATTAGTTGACCTGAATTGCAAAATAAACAGAAGTACTATATTCCTAATTTTTTCATCTAGCTATACACTCAGCTTGGTAAATAAATATTGGAGATGGATTTTATTGTGGATTGAAAGCTAGGAATACTCAGATTTTTTTTTTTTTTCAGTTTTATCCTTGAGTGATATATTCAGATTATTTTTTTTGGCTGGTATTCTTTATAAATAATTTGTAAATTTGATGAAGTAGAAGGATAAAGATAAGAAGAGAAGTGAATGATAGGTTTTTACAAATCAAGAAAATTGCATAAAAGAACTATAGCTACTTTGTAGACCTTGAACCTAGTTCTTGGAGACAGTGAGGTGGAGCTATATTAGAGAAAAAAGTTCTTGGACAGCAGCAAGTAGTTCAAGTTGGCTGTGGAGTTGAGAGAAGCTTGAATAAACCAAAGACAGAGCACAACTCATGATTAAACCATTTTTTTCAGATTACAAATTGAAACAGCAAATGATATTGCTGTGCCACTATTCTTTGATTTATTCTCAATTCAGTACCCATTTTTATTCTGGAAGAAGCTGAGCTTGGATCTTCTTAGATTAAAGCTATTGAAAGAAACAGACTTACACTAACCAACTGCCAGTTTACCTCCTGTAAGTAGAATTTCTCTTCTGAAGAGAAGGGGTTAGATGTGTTTGATTGCTATAGAAGATGAATTATCCAAACACATAGGACACAGCACTGAAAAGTCAAGTAGGAAGAGAAAAGAATATAATTGCTTTTATTTTTGATGCTTTAATAATCAATTTCTAAGATATATGTATATATATTCCCATGGCATTTTTGCTGGAACAGACTTGTAGTGAGCCCAGGATTGGTTTGAGTTTGCGTCTGCAGTGTATGTATATACATTAATCCACCAGATTTGTACCTTCCTATTCATACACTATGGGGCAAGCCTTGCATAGGATTCCATTACAAGAAATCTATTGTCCACTCACAGTGAAAGAAAATAGATTCTATTCCTGCTCTATTTCCTAGTATGTTTGAAAGTGAAATTTATCCTACAAAGATGACATTTAAAACAGGTGCATACTTTGAAAGGCGTTCTTTAGATTTGGACAGATGAATTATCGGGCCAGTGATATGTCTGAAGAGATTTGATGATAGGTCTTCATCGAGCAGGTGTCTCTAACTATAATGAGGTACCTAAACAAGTAGGAACCTGTGGGTCTTAAAATGTTAATGGGAAGAATATGTGAAAGTTCATCAAGGATTTCAAGGGTGCAAATCTTTAGTTTGTGGTGCTAAGGTCTTGCTTTTTAAACTGCTCTTTACATGTCTTCTTATGCCCAAAATGAAAAGTTAAAACTGTTCGGTTTCCCAGTTTAGCTTTTAGCATTGAGGCTCCTTGGAGAAAGACTGTATGTCTGGTTCGTCTCTGTATCTTATTTCCCTCAGCCTTTTACACCAGAAGACACTGCAAATAATCACTGAATCAGTGGCCAGGATTCGGGTTGATAATGTGAAATGAAGTTATCCTTTATGGTTTTCTTTTGTTATAATCACTTTTCAAACTCTTCTTGGAAGAGAACAAACTGTGACTTGTACTTGAGTCTCTTTATGAGGATGTGTTCTCAGTCTTTCTGGCTGGCAAAAGTCTTCTCATGCTTGCTTCGCTGCACTTGCTCGGCTCAAAAACTATAATCTGTCATCACTCGGATACCAGTGCTCTCTCCCTTCTACCGTGATTCTTTTATCCGAAAACTGCCGCCCACTTACATTTCTCCCATCACTGAAATTTTCTGGGTGCCGTTGTGTTGATTATTTTTGTGTGTATTCTGTTTTTACTCTGTGCTATAAAAATTTTATGGACAAAGAGCCTGTTACAGATGTCCTTTATGTCCATGGTATTAATAATAATACCAGATTGTCAAGCTCTATAATTATGAAATAATATAGTGTCTGGCATGAAAATTACTTAAATTCAGAGTTGAACTTTGATTGTCCCTTACTGATACTTTGCCTTGTCTTTTGCTGGAAATACAAGCCTGTTTCTTAAGCTTGCTGTCATAGAATCATGAGACGGGAGTTTGAAGAGGGGAAAATAGGTGACTGAATATTTGTGCTTTTAAGTTAGACATACATAACTCCCTGAATCTAAAAAGATTTCCTGGTCTAAGATATGCCTTTTTCCACCTCCTAGTAATGCTGCCATATTACCCTATTTCCTTCACAGCACTAATCACGCCATGAAATTGTTCTGTTTACTTTGTCATTTCTCTCTCCATGAGGTACCTCGTTTGTCTTATTCACAGAATCACTAGCACTTAGCTCAGAGTTTGGCACATAGTAGGAGCTTGACAAATATTGATTGATTGAATGAGAGGCACACTCAGGCTGAGGAATTTCTAAAGCACGCTTTTCCTCCACAGACTGGAGTTGAGGGACACATAAAGAGAATCCACCAACACCTCACTCTCAGCTTCCCACTCTCTACCCCCACCCCAGCTACAGGAGTTTTTGCTCCTTGGTTTATGTCCCAGGTGGACTTTTGCAGTAAACCAGTAATGTGACAGTAAAGACACAAGGCTGAATATCCAGTCGTCTGGACTTAATTTAATATAGAATATTCAATTTATACCTGTTTTCAGTGTTCTTAGCTCTAATGCTCAGCTAAAGTTGAAATTGTATCTTCTGAGCACATTGCTTGCCTAGGGCAGTAATAGACCTTTTCTTCAAGTTTAAATTAGCTGAAGGCTGGTTGTCCTATACGTGAAAATGCATTCTTAATCTCTTGATAAAACACAGGCCATCCAATTAGGTGAATTATTTGAAGTACTTTTTTTTTTTTTAATCTACTGACATTTATGGTTAGAAAGCCTTAGAGAAGTTAAATTTCATTAATGACATCAATCTGTCCATTATACAAATTGTTTCTTGCAACCCAAAGAAACCACTTTTCTTTTTATGTTTAAATTTAGATGTACTTTGAACATACCTATCAAAAGAGCAATTCTGCAGAGTAAGGGTTAAGTTTCTGAAACCCTAGGCGCAAATCCCTTGTGCACCAGTCCTCAAAGGTAATCTCTATTGGATGAAATCCCACATAAACAAATAGTTATCAAGAATCAAGATTTTAGGGGCACCTGGGTGGCTCAGTCCGTTAAGCGTCCAACTTCGGCTCAGGTCATGATCTTACAGTTTGAGGGTTCAAGCCCCACATCTGCCTCTGTGCTGACAGGTCAGAGCCTGGAGCCTGCTTCAAATCCTGTGTCTCCCTCTGTCTCTGCCCCTCCCCCACTCGTTCTCTCTCTCTCTCTCTCTCTCTCTTTCTCTCTCTCTCTCTCTCTTTCAGAATAAACAAACATTTAAAAAATAAGGTGTATAAAAATAACAAAATTTAAAAGATAATCAAGATTTTATATCATGAAGTCAGTATATATAATTCTTTTTCTTTAAAGAATCTTCTGCCGAGTCTCAACTTTTCCTGCAATCGTGGACCATTCCCACCATACGGGCACAAGCCATATGGCTGACAACAGTACAACGGCGCCTCCTCACCACCACCACCACCCGACTACTTCGGCCCACCACTCTCATGGCGGGGGAATGGACGGTATGATGATGGTGAGTACCTCAGGAGAGGCGGCCCTTTTACCCCCACTTGGGTAATAGACTGGCAAGTTATCATCTTTAAAGATCGGTTTACTGATGAGGAAAAGCTGAGACGGACTCAGACAAGACCAGTGATTTGCCCAAGATCACGTGGCAGGTTAATTTCAGAGCCACACCAGCACCAGGATTTCTGGGGCTCTTGTGTATTCCTTCCATTCAAAATTGACCCTTTTCTGAATTAAGTTCTGCTTTGTGTGGAAAAGAGAAAAGGACAGTGCATTTATCACGATGAACGCTGAGTAATGTGTAGAATTGTTGAGTCACTATATTGTGTACCTGAAACTAATATAACACCGTCTGTTGACTACACTGGAATTAAAATTAGAAAGAGAGAGAGAAGTTGGTGGTAGGGACAAGGAAGAATACTTGTAGAGCGTGTCTGTGGTGATTGTGCTAAAATGAAGTAGAGAGCCTCCTACTTCAGTGAAAGTCTCTTACAATCCAGAACTGATACTTTCAAATGCTCTAAGCTTCTTTACCTGAAATCTCTAATTGACTTGTTTTGGTTTTCTGGCAGTCTATGACCTTCTACTTTGGCTTTAAGAATGTGGAACTGTTATTTTCTGGTTTGGTGATCAATACAGCTGGAGGTGAGTAAACCTTCATCATCAGGTGGTATTCGAAAATGACACATGAGAGGCAGTGACAAAGACTCTAGAAACCCAGCAGCTTTTTCTGCCATAATTACTGAATGGTTATGGTTATGATACATAATCATCTTCCTATTAACTGCCTAGAAGGTAAGGATACACAATGCTTATTTTGGTCCTACAGTAAACCTTCCTTAAATAACATGTTTTAGAGTTTCTGAAAAATAATTATTTACATACCAGATAGGAGTCTTTTTGCAATCCATTTCCTTTCATCCTTTTCTAGAGTGCTTCCTTATTTGATAAGTTATTGATCCTGGACGTAAGACTGTAGTCAAGGTAAAATGACATAAGGGGGTGCCTGGGTGGCTCAGTCGGTTGATCATCTGACTTCAGCTCAGGTCATGATCTCACAGTTTGTGGGTTCAAGCCCCACATTGGGCTTTGCTTTGATAGTGTGGAGCCTGCTTCAGATTCTCTGTCTGCGCCTCTCTCTCTCTCTCTCTCTCTCTCTCTCTCTCTCTCTCTCCCTCTCTCCCTGCCCCCTCAAAAATAAACATTTAGAAAAATGACATAAGCATTTTGCATAAACCACAAAATAACCCTAGGTAGAAAACTATTGATCCAGTATAGTCCTTCCATTTTATATGGATAGATACATTAAGGGTCAAATGCTGAAATGATTAGCCCTAAATCACATAGCATTAGTATGTCAGAGATAGGACAGGGATCTAGACTTTCTAGACCTCCCTACTCCTGTGCTCTTTCTAGCATACCAAACCGGTCTACATCATTCCTGATTCTTGGCATGGCTCATCTTAGGGTCATTCCTACTTTGCAGATAACTAATACCCATTTCTGTGTGTCTGTAATGTTAAGTGGGTATGCCTTAAATTCAAATTGCTCAAGCTCAATCATCAGTTGAACTGCTTTCAGAAGGTATATCTTTGGAGCCACAAAATCAATTTGGAGAAAAGGGGAAGCATTTAGTTCAAGTAGTGTGTTAAATCTGGAGTTTGAGTATATTCGTATGATTATTAACAATGTGAAAGACTTAGAACTAAAATGTTTATTCAAGAAATAGCACTTTATTGGGGTTCCTGGGTGTCTCAGTCAGTTAAGTGCCGTCTTTTGATTTTGGCTCAGGTCATGATCTCACAGTTAGTGACTTTGAGCCCCCCGTTGGGCTCTGCACTGTCAGTGCAGAGCCTGCTTGGGATTCTCTCTCTCTGTCCCTCCCCCATTTGTGCACTCTCTCTCTCTCTCTCTCTCTCTCTCTCTGTCTCTCTCTCTCTTTCTCTCTCTCTCTGTTTCTCTCTCTCTTTCTGTCTCTCTCTGTCTCTCTCTTTCTCTCTCTCTCTCTCAAAATAAACTTTAGAAGAAAGAAAGAGCACTTTGTTTTTAAGTTTTTAAAATTCTAGTTACTTAACGTACAGTCTTATATTAGTTTCAGATGTACAATACAATGATTCAGTAGTTCCATACAACACCCTGTGCTCATCACAAGTGTATTCCATAATCCCCATCCCCTTTTTCACCCATCCCCCCTTCAACCCCCTCCCCTCTAGTAACCATCAGCTTGTTCTCTATAGTTGAGTCTGTTTTCGGGTGCCTGGGTGGCTCAGTTAGTTAAGTATCTGACTTCGGCTCAGCCCCACATCAGCCTCTCTATTGTTAGCACAGAGCTGAGCCCGCTTCAGATCCCCTGTCCTCTTCTCGCTGCCCTCCCCCACGTCCCCTCCCCGCTCCCCCATCTCAAAAATAAATAAACATTAAAAATATTTGTTTTACAATGTTTTTTGTTTTTTTTTAAGTTACTTGATTTATTTTGAGAGCCAGGGGAGAGAGAGAGCGCACATGCAAGTGGAGGAGGGGCAGACAAAGACAGAGAGGAGAGAGAGAGAGAGAGAGAGAGACAGAGAGAGAGAATCCCAAGCGGGCTCCATTCGGTGCAGAGTCCAACCAACACGGGGCTTGAACTCATGAACTACGATATCATGACCTGAGTCAAAAGCAAGAGTTAGACACTTAACTTACTGAGCCACCCAGCCACCTGAAGAGTCCGTTTCTTGATTTAGGTCTCTTTTTTTCTCTTTGCTCAAGGAAATAGCACTTTACAATGTTGTTTTATTCCCCTTTTGCATACTCTATGTTGTGTGGTTCAGCAAATTTATGACATCAAGCAGCCAGACCTAAAGGTTATTGTTGTTCAGATGATTTTTTTGTATCATAATCAGAAAATGAGTATGTTCTTCAGTGGAGGCAATGGTTTTCACTAACACCGTCACACCATCTTTGCTATTCTATCTGCGCAGTAGAGAGGTAACAATGTAATGTGTTCAGACACTGAAAGGAGCCCTTTTTTATGTTGTCTCTCTAGCTTGGACAGCACACCACCTAGTGATTTTGCATGTTTAACCATACCACCATATTTTCCTTCCCTACTTAGAAATGGCGGGAGCTTTCGTGGCAGTGTTTTTACTAGCAATGTTCTATGAAGGACTCAAGATAGCCCGAGAGAGCCTACTGCGTAAATCACAAGTCAGCATCCGCTACAATTCCATGCCTGTCCCAGGACCAAATGGAACCATCCTTATGGAGACACACAAAACTGTTGGGTAAGAAGACTGAACAGATCCAGAGGGAAGTTCTGGAGAGCTGTTTTAGTTAAGCAGCAAAGCAGCTCTTTTATTAGCAATAGCCCTCTTCTTGAGTTACTGGTGATTCTATATCTACCCAGCTCTAGTCTCATTTGGTTTACAGTGTAAGACTATATAGAAAACCTGTATTCCGTCAAAGAAAGTATTTAGATTACTGCTGGTTTTTCCCCACAGATTGGCAAATGCCTTTCGAGATTTTTGAGTTTTAATAGAAATGTAGGTCTTTTTTTTTTTTTTTTTTAATTTTTTTTTTTTTTCAACGTTTATTTATTTTTGGGACAGAGAGAGACAGAGCATGAACGGGTGAGGGGCAGAGAGAGAGGGAGACACAGAATCGGAAACAGGCTCCAGGCTCTGAACCATCAGCCCAGAGCCCGACGCGGGGCTCGAACTCATGGTCCGCAAGATCGTGACCTGGCTGAAGTCGGACGCTTAACCGACTGCGCCACCCAGGCGCCCCGAAATGTAGGTCTTAAAAACTAGATCGGAGGGGTACCTGCGTGACTCCATAGGTTAAGCATCCGACTCTTGATTTCAGCTCAGGTCATGATCTCATGGTTCATGCGTTCGAACCCTGCATCGGACTCTGTGCTGATGGTGTGGAGCCTGATTGAGATTCTGGCCCTCCCTCTGGCTATGCCTCTCCACTACTCATACACGCCCACGCACTCTCTCTCTCTATCTCTCTGTCTTTGAAAATAAGTTAAAAAAAAAAAAAACTGAAATAAATTGGAGTCCTTGAAGACTCTTATAGACCAATATGCTGCTTTCAAGCAAGTGCAGTATTATTGAGGCCCAAACATGTGACTTACCTAAGGTGACAGAGCTGGTAAGTGACAGAGGGGATAGCCACTCCTCCTGATCCCTTGTAAATACTTTGTACTATACTACCCAACCCTTGATTCTATTTCTGTTTTTAGAATGTGAACTTTGCAAAGGTGGAAGGCCTGAAAATGTTCAAATAAGTATGGGAGGGTTTAGGGCTTCCGTTTTGGGATCCATGGTAGAGGTAAGTTAGGGAATTAGTCCTCCTTCCTCTCCTCCTCCTGCGGACATAGAACTGTATCTGGCCGATTCTTATTAACCCGGCAGCCCTATCATGTTTCACTCCAGGAACCATACACAGCATACATACACAAAGAAGCCATGAGTTGCCTGGATGGCTGTGAGGAGTCCAGTTCAAGCTGAGCTCGTGACCAGAACTGTCCCCCTTTCTCTTGAGCTGCCCAGACACCGCTCAGGGTCCCTGATTGCTATGTTCCTCTCTGTTCTCCAGGCAACAGATGCTGAGCTTTCCCCACCTCCTGCAGACAGTGCTGCATATCATCCAAGTGGTCATCAGCTACTTCCTCATGCTCATCTTCATGACCTACAACGGGTACCTCTGCATTGCAGTAGCAGCGGGGGCTGGCACAGGATACTTTCTCTTCAGCTGGAAGAAGGCAGTGGTGGTGGACATCACAGAGCATTGCCATTAGCGTTCAACTCCATGGTGCGGCCTTATCGATTGCAGTGGGAAGCAGTTCAAGACTGAAAGACATGATTCCTACTCCAATCTTCCCTTCTTGCTCCTTATTTCCTTTCTCTCTCTCTCTCTCTCTCTCTCTCTCTCTCTCTCACACACACACACACACACACACACACACACACACACACCCCTACTCAACAGAGGCTTAGCTTTTAGTCTCTGAGCTAAGGTGATAACCTCCCCGGGTTTTTTCTAATGATCTGAGATTCCCTCAGAATCTCTCCTCCCTCATCATCTTAGATCCAAGTTACATGTAGCTGTCTATTCAAGACTTGATCACCTGCTTCCTTTTTTAGTCCTCTGTTTTTATTTTGTTAACAGACAGTGTGTGAATTTGGTGGGTTTCTCCTGGGTCGGTGATGCAAGGAGATTCTATTCAGCTAGGATTGATGGAAGCTGAGGGAAATTCTGGCCCAACTAAATCCAGAACCCAAACTTAACACTTGAAAGTGAGTTCCAGTCTTTGGATTCGATAAGTGTGAAATACATTGTGCCTTTCACTAGTTGTGATGTGTTGCGTCAGAATCTTTGTAGTGTCTAGAAGGGTGGTTTGAGACTAAACACAGGGCTGGGGCGTGCAGAAGTGTGCATTCTTAGGTGGCTGGCTCATGAACTTGTGTTCCTACTTGACATTTTGATTAGAACGAACTTGTCAATCAAAAAAAAAGATGACAATCAATTTGAGAAAATAGAAATAGATATTTTAAAATAAAACCATTGATACTTTGACTTGGTACCTTGGATTGTCACAGCTGAATGAATCAAGAGTTTGAATCATTTTCTTTTGTTATTGTTTTCTTATGTTGGCCTCTAAACCAGTGGTTTTCAAACTTGAGCATGCATCGGAATCACCCGAAGGGCTTGTTAGAGCACTAGCTTCTGGGCCTCAACCCAGAGCCCCAAAATTGGCATTTCTAACAAGTTCCCAGGCGATGATTCTGCTGATGGTCAGGGGACCATGCTTTGAAAATCTCTGTTTTAAAACTAAGGAAGTGTCACCTGGTGCGGTGAGCTACCTGGTATTGGGCACAGGAATTTGAACTGCTGGTGGTAGGTGATATGTCTAAGCTTAACTCGTGTACTAAATGCTGCTGGTCAATACTTAATCATTCCAGAAACATCTATTCTGCTCCAGCTGTGTGTATGTGTGCCCAAGGGCTATAGCCAAAGTAACTTTTATCAGTATGTATGAAATCACTAGTCTTTATTTTTAAAGGTCTGTGGTTTCTTAGAAGTAGCTTGAAGATTGAGGAAGACCTTTGAGCTGCAGTATAAAATCAGCTAGTCATGGGTCAGAAGGGCAAAAGCCCAGCCCTCTCTTTGGAGAGGTTTAGGGTATGGTCTGCTGATCATCAGATTTTCCTCAGCCCCCAGCATCCATGTCCACACCAAGCAGGTCCTCATCTTCTACATGACCATCTTCGTTACTCTCTGGGGTTTCATTAGATCACATGTGGCCAAAACCTCTTTTTCTCAATGAAGAACCACACTGGATTTTTATTCTGTTCAGTTGTTAGGTTACACTGCAGTCTCGTTCCCAGTCCAAACAACCTGCATGAAGCGACTCTTCCTGTGCTAGTCTGTTAAATCCTGCCCTCCTTGGTGCTAGACTCCAATCGTGCCTCAGGGCAGAGGAGACAAAACACAACTATTCTGTTGGTCTCTGTTGTGGTTTTGAAGTTTGTACTTTCTCTGTGGGTGCCAGTTAAATATTGGAGAGCAAGGAATGTGTACTTCCATGGCTTTAAGTCAAGAGAGGGTTATCAGCTTCCTGGATCGAGGGTAAAATCTAAGAACCAAGATTTAGAGTTTTGTGCTTTTTTCTCATTCCAACCACTTGTGCTGATATTTAGCAAGAGTAGAGTGAATGACAGGTAGCGACAGAGTCCAACAGGAAGGTGTAAATAGCCTGCTATTATCTCAGAAGCCAAGGAATAATAAAACCATGAGAAAATAAGACTCAATGTTTAATAGTGACCCTGGTGCTCTCTGGAAATCTTGGCATGAGCTGCTATAAAATATCCTTTTCAGAAACAGGACTTTATCAGTAAGGTAAGAAAAATCGAGGCCAGTTAAGACAAAGTGCTGTGAGTTTGAAACTCAACAGAGAAACATCAGTTTGGGATAGGTCTTCAGGTACTCAAGATCGAGTGTCATGTAAAACCTGAATTCCAGCGATTCTTAGATTAGGTTGCCAAAGGAAGAAGCTAGTGAAGGAGAAACAATTTAAACCTTAAATTCCATCTTTCTTGAGCTCTTGGATTGTTAATGATCTCATTGACTTTGATTTGTGTATCTCTGTCCATCAGTTTAGTGCCTGACTTCTTTGTTCCTTCCGGATCCAAATTTCTTTTCTTCCTTCCCTGTTCAACAGCTCTTAGAAGCCTGTATCGCCATTTCTTTGGCTTTTCTTTCCCTTTCTGTCTTTTCAGTCTTTAATCCCGTGTATCTGGTTTATTAATCTCCTTAGCCCTCCTGATGCCGTGGACATAGCTGTGCAGTGGATCTAGATACCCGTCAGAAGTTGTAAAACCCCTTAAGCACGCTCTGAGGAGGAGTTGTTCTGCCAGAATGTCTATAAAAAGCTGAGTAAAGGGCTGCCTACGAGTACCACCTGCAGAGTCCCAGAATCTTAGGTGCTGTCTCCAGTCTATGTTGGAGGAACACTCAGCCCCTCGTTGTCCACGAACAGGGAATCCTCTGTGTCCAACAGCAAATGAAAAATTAAGGTTTCTTCACTACTTCTTTGGTAGGACTGTCTGGCATTCTATTTCAGACTGAGGCTCTGGGCTTGGGATCTAGCCACAGAGTTTCTTATAAGGAGCTGGAAGGGGAGGGGGCAGGGGTTACATGTTCATGTCCTTTAATTTTGATCCTGCTCTCTCCAGCTGCTTCTTTCAGAAGATACAGCTAAAGATACAAAGTCTGCATTTGATATAATGCCTTAATCACTGAGTCTACAATTAATGTTGACCGTTTTAGATTGTAAGCTCCTGGAGAGCAGTATTGCTGTAGTAGGAATGTTTTAACAGTGTCATATGTAAAAGAACAAAATAAATATTTTGATTTTGTGATTCTATGCGTGTCTTTCTGCCCAGAGTGACAGTAGAGTAAGTGGTCTTTTTGTTGGCCATTACCATCAATTTTTAAGATGTCAGACTTTTAAGTGTTTTGATCCCTTTACATTTTCATCCTACTCTCCTCAACATGACAAGCTAGTACATGCCAGAAGATCTACATGACATTTCTCACAGCAGACAGGGTCTTCATGAAGCTGCAAATAACTCAGCACACCACGGATTCCTGAATTTAAAAGCTAACCCACCCTATCCTAATCTCTTCTTCGGTGTTTATGCTATTGGGCAAGAGGCCCTGAGTTGGGCCTCTAGGATCTTCACGACCAAGGCTTGAAGTGAGCACTGGCCCTGCCTATCCCTTCAGAAATGCCAGAACGCTGCTGTTATCTGCCATTCCTACTCACTGGCCCCCAGAAAGCATCTTACCATCCAGGACCATCCCTAGTCACCTCCATAGTGTAGTATGAGGAACATGGACTTTGGAGTCCAGCGTACCTGGGTTTGAATCTTGGCTCCCCCACTTACCAGAAGTGTGACCTTGGGGCACGTGGGTGGCTCAGGTGGTTAAGCTCCAACTTCGGCCTGGGTCATGATCTCACGGTTCGTGGGTTCGAACCCTGTGTTGGGCTCTGTGCTGACAGCTCAGAGCTTGGAGCCTGCCTCGGATTCTGTGTCTCCCTCTTTCTGCCCCTCCCCTGCTCATACTCGCTCAAAAATAAAATTAAAAAAAAAAAAGAAGTGTGACCTTAGGCAAGTGATTTTGATAATCCCTAAACCTTAGTGTTCTCATTTATAAAAAGGCAATAATAGTACAATTTTCAACTTGGGAGCAATATGTATAAGCCACCTAGCACTTAATAGGCAACTGGACGATAGTAAGTATATTTTTGATGATTTTTACTCCAGCTTTCAGGAACTGAAAGGTAAGCTCTTCGGGATGAGGTTAGTATCTCTTCACGAGCACCTGACCATTTTCTAGAAATGAACACTAGGACCTAAGGAATAAAAATTTATGCATGGGGTTTTAGTTGTGTCTAAAAGGATTTATGCTGCAATAAGCCCTTATGTACTCATCTGGTAAATGTCTCCTGTATACGTAAAATGGCATGGAAATTTCCTGCGAACTGGAATGGCATCCTCTCACTCTGCCCCTGATAGATAGCCTCACATTCTAGACCCAGCCGGGGGAGACTAGGAGAGCAGTGTAGCCACAAAGTTTAGACATGGGTTCAGAAATCAATATGCTTGGGTTCAAATCTCAGCTCTACCCCTTAATAGCTGAGCATTAGTTTCCCCTTTTGTAAAATTAGGATCTAGTACTCTCACAGGAGTTAAAGATTAAATGAGATAATCTGTATAACACACTCCATACAGTGTCTTTACATATACAGCCCCCTGAGTATTGGCTGATTAGGAGGGAAGAAGAAATTAAGGAGGCTCAATGTTTTCACGCTTCTGTGCCTATTCATGCTGGGAAGTGACAGCTTAAGACAGAAGCTAGTTTCTCTCCCCTCCCCCACCCCACCTTTTTTTTCCTCTTCTATCCTGGCCTTTGCAGGCTTCGAGGTAATGTACTCAATTTCCCTATCTGGAGCCTGACTCTTGCTCTGTCTTTAAGACCATAACAGAATTGAAGGTCTTTTATCAAACTGGAAGTATAAAGGTTTTGAAAGAACAGTTGGAGAAAGAGAACTATATATCCTTTTCTATCACTGCCTCTCCCATGTGTATTTTTTTAATGTTTATTTTTGAGAGAGGGTGCATGCACAAGTGGGGGAGGGGCAGAGAGAGGGGGACAGAGGATCTGAAGCAGGCTCTGTACTGACAGTAGTGAGCTCAATGTGGGGCTTGAACTGTGAAATCATGACCTGAGCCAAAGTTGGACACTCAACCGACTGAGCCACCCAGGTGCTCTGCCTCTCCCATAATCTTTTTACCCAGCCTTAAACTACCCCTAGAACTAGGTAAAATCTTGCCAAAGGGTCTCTTCAGAACTGACAATTCCAGGGGCGCCTGCATGGCTCAGTTAAGCATCTGACTCTTGATTTCAGATCATGATCTCACAGCTCATGAGTTTGTGCCCCACATTGGGTTCTGCACTGACAATGAGGAGCCTGCTTGGGATTCTCTCCCTCTCTCAGCCCCACCCCTGCTCAAGTGTGTGCACACATGCACAGTCTCTCAAAATAAATAAAATTAAAAACTGATGACTCTCGAGGCTCCTTCTACCACAGTTGGCAATTCACTGTAGTCGAATTAAACAGTGAAAACAATAGGACGTGATTTTTTTTAAGGTTTTTTTTTTTAGTAGTCTCTACACCCAATGTGGGGCTTGAACTCACAACCCCGAGATGGAGTCACATGCTCCTGAGCCAGCCAGGCGCTCCTCCTCCCCTCCGATTCTAAATTACCCTCTCAGATTAGCTCCTGGTGGCAAAAATTCTTAGGCAAGTTGGAAAAGGATGGCAAATTGGAATGATGGGAATATTGTTAGCATTCCTATTATCATGTTTCCCTCCACTGCCTGTCCCCCCCCCCCCCCAATTATGCCCAAACTAGCTACAAAGCCATTCTGTAAACAGATTCTGGAAACCCACAGCTTGATCACATTTATACAAAATCACTAGAATCTAATCTCCACAAGGGCAGAGATCTTGGATTTTGTTCACTGATGTTACTAAATGCCTAAAATGGTCCCGGCACATAACAGAAACTCAATAAATACTTGCTGAAGAGACAAGTTGAATGAGTCCATGATAGGGATCAACTGCAAGTGTCCTGTGTTTAGACACTCAGTAAAGGTGGGAAGAATGATGTCGCCTCTTGGAGCAATTACCTTTCAAAGTCTTGAGGTTAACAGTACTATTCTTATACTTCATTAAGGGTGTTGCACACTTTTCCAAAAATAGATTTATTTTTAAAAACAAAAGACAAGTTTTATAGAGTCAAATTTTCCAGAGATAAACTAGAGTTTGGATTTCCACTTAGAGTGAAAGGTAAGCATTAGTTATCTCACGCAGAAGTATTTCTCTGCAGGAGTAAAACATTCTGCTTGACTTCAAGCACTCAATTCTCTAAACCTTATTTGTACTTCTGCCATCATTTTACTCCATTCCAGGGCTCTGGCATGCAAGATAATCTGCCTCTAAAATTCAAAACTTCCAAATTGAGATGAACGATTGTTGGGCTTGGGTTGGGGTTTATAACCAATTCGATCATTAATCATTTGTTCCCGGTTCTTGGGGTCACTGCTGAGCCCAATGGCACCTTCTCCATCACTGATTCCTACGACATCCACTTCTTCCTTTTGTTTCTTACGGTTCTGAAAGTATAAAAGTTTTAGGATTTAGGCAACATTCTTTCCATTACCAAACATTTATTTAGCACCTACCATGCACTAGGCATACGGTAAAGTCTAGGGTTAGGGTCTTTGGAATAATAAGCTGAAATCCTAGGTTTAAATGGATAATAAGGGTACAAGGGGGATACAGGGATATAGTGATAAAAGATATAACCCCTACCCTCCAGGATGTCACAGTCTAACCAGGAAACAGGTAAACAGACAGTGACAACACAGGGTGATCGTGGCTATGACAGAGGAAAGTCCACACTACCAAAGAGACACAAAGAAGGGAGAATTGGGTGTGCAGTGGTAGAGCTTCAGAGCAGGAAGCTGCAATTAGAAAGATAAATAATAATGAGAAGATGGATGTTAGCTGAACGTACTGTGGTCATCATTTCACAATATCTGTCAATCACACCATCATGCTCTACATCTTAAACTTACACAGTGATGTATGTCAGTTACTCCTCAATCAAACAAGAAAAAAAAAAATAAGAGTTGGTAGACAAGAGGGAGAGAAGGGTGTTTCAGTAAATGTATTATTCAAGAGAACAGATGCAAAAATTAAGTGGTAAAGCAATAACCAACAGAAATTAACAGTTTCCCTAACACCATGAGATTAAATGTAACACAGGAATACAAGGTTTTGTGCTAGCTTATCAAAAGGCCGGTGTTTCAAGGTTTCATTTCGTTTTCAGGTAAAAGGGTTGGCTCTTACATCACAAGTGACTGCAGAATTCAAGTCAATGTCTTAGTTTGGTCACTTTTTTTATTTTTTTATTTTTTAAGTAATCCCTACACCCAACGTGGGGCTTGAACTCACAACCTCGAGATCAAAAGTTGCGTGCTCCACCGACTGAGCCAGCCAGGTGCCCCTCAGTTTGATCATTTTCAAAGACAGACTAACCCTGATCCCATAACTACTACTACCTAACTATAAAGATGGTATTAGATAATAACATTCCCTGAGAGAATAAACAAATGTTTTATCCAGTGTGCGTTAGGAGAATGACTACTCTAGCCACTGGAATCCCCACTATTATTCACCACTTACTAATGAACTCCGCATGTAAGTGCCAAGATCATAGAAGTACACTGAATAAGATGTTACTTTATACATCTATATGTATGTGTGTATATAAAATGACCTTTCCGAGTTACTCTCTAGTTAGTCTACATTACCAATAAGTAACATTACAAAGTTCACCCCAAATACCTTAGTGAAAACAGGTTAAAAGGCAAAGGATACTATCATTTTATAAGCCATGAGAAACTGAGAATGTCCAAATGGAATGAAATCATTTAAAAGGCTTCCCACCATGAATAACTGCTGACTGTTTCAGAATCCAGAGTCATCAAAATGTAATTAAACTAATTTCAGTAACAAATGAAATACCAGTTTCTGTTGGTTTCATTTAAGTTTAGTTTAAGGCAAAACTATTCCTAAGTTGCTCTAAAACAGGTCAAACTCACTGGATAATTGCCTTTAGTAGAAAGACTGACTCAATAGTGAGCTGATTCTGCAGAGTCAAAGTTCAGTATGCCAACACTTTATGAGACTCATTCCAGCTGAAGTTTAAACCATACTGAAAGGGCATTTCAGGGAAATAGAACCGAGTGTACAGAGGCACTGAGATTAAAGATAACTTGTCAGTGGAA